AGTCGAAAGATGTCTCTCCAGCATTCCTACACCCTAAACCCCAAACCCGAAGCCCGAAACTCCAAACACCCCAAACTCTAGCCTTAAACTACTTAAAACCCCGTGTAGTCTGACTCCAGGGGGCGATCATACCTAGGTGCTCCATGCTGGCGTGCGTGTCGAAGAGCACCTAAGACGTCTGGGCTTGCAGGGCTTTCGGCTGTAGGGCTTCGGCGCTTTCGGAGTTTTCGAAACCCTATAGGGTTTCAGGGCTCAGGGCTTTGGTGCTTAGGGCTTTACATAAGGCTTAGGGCTTTAGGGTCTTAGGGCTTTAGGGTCTAGGGGCTTGGAAGGTTTAAGGTCTTCTTGGGTGCTGGGTCTAAAAACGGCTCTCCAAGGGTTCTACCAGCTTCGAGAGTTGACGGGGTACGGGGTTATCATAGGGGCCTCATAGCGACTAGAATAAGGTCTTGGGTTTAGGGGTTGGGGGTACATTATACAACAGATATGTCCGGCTCAATAGTGCTTACTAATCCTGAAGAGCCTCCAAAACCGCAATTTAAAAGAGAAGCAGGAAAAGTATAGGAATTCCAGTTTTGCAGGGAATACGGACAAATAGGTAAAATAGGAAACTAGGAGAACAATATCAACAAAATAGAGAAAGAATGGGGAAGACTAGTAATAAACTTGGAAAAATAGGAGTAACGTATGGAAAAATAGGAATAACATAGGGGAGAAATAGGATATATAGGGAACACACTAGAAAAAATCGGCAAAACCGAGGCCCACAGGGTAGAAACGAGCTCCCACGTTTCCCTCTATTTACGAAAAACCAGGATTGTTACAGTATGTTTTCCTATCAACTGGTACCACGAGTTTAGGGTTTAGGGCTTGAGTTCAAGGTTTATTCAACGGCCCTTTTTCTCTACATGCTCAGGTGCGTGGGGCTTACAGTAGCGGTTTTGAGGCAGGCAGCCGTTTGATTGCCGAACCTTTAGAACCTTCGCTGGAAAGTCGCACCTACTTGGCAAGCAAATGTGGTTGCTCAAGTCGGGACGTCCAAGCGGAATAGCCCCCAAGTTCTGAGCTTTAGTTCTACATGCCCTCGTCTCTATCATTGCTGTTCAGTTGTGGTCCCGAAATGCGGGTTATGACAATGAGTACTAGAACTCATGTGCGGCACCGCTCCGATCGCGAATACGATTCTCAGTAGTCGTATCTAATTCGACACTCTGCCCCTCTGCATCCACGGGCGCATTGCCAGTGTAGAGCTCAAAGAGGATGCAGCCTAAACTCCAGATGTCCGCTTTCTCGCTCCAACCAATCTGGAGGATCCTCGAAAAAATTTTGGGGCATGACAGTGACGACTGTGAAGGCTGTACCACATTCGGCTGCTGCTAAAAGCCACTTACGTGAGAATTGGTCTTGAGTGCAGTGCAAGATTTGCAAGTCGGGCTCGAGGCCCCCGGCTTGTTTCAACACACCTTCCGAAAAATGAAGGGCCCGAGGCAAACACTACCGATAGACCACGAAGCCCTTGAACCGGACCGGAAAACTCGAACCCCAAAAGAGCCAAGCGTCACTTCTGGAGAGCGGTACTGCCGCGTCTGGATGATGCTGGAATGGTGCATATCTACCTGAAACCCATCACGTTTTTTTGAGAGTGTTGGGGTTTAAACTTTACAGCTCCAGAGGATCAGCCCGGAAAACCCCCATTGTGAACCCCAGGCCAAGAGCAAAAACTACAGCAAGCTTACGGCCAGGGTCCAGCCCCTAAACCCAATAACAGCTCTGTCAGAGGGCTCGAGCTCGAGGATTCTAGGACAGAACGCCGAGGTCCTCTAAATTAGTGCAGATGAGAGTTGGGGGGTTTAAGTTCAGGGGGTTTAGGGGGGCTCTACTGCTCATGGCTTGGGATGGAAGGGCTTAGGGTGTGCTCCATTTTTTTGGGACCTTTGACCCGGATTCTGGGTGGAGGCAGAAAGTCGTTGCAGTCTGTGAAGTCCCAGTTTGCAGCACTTCTTACCTTCAAGATCCTTCCCCCGGGGAGTTCCTTCGGGTTTGGGGTTAAATGGAGCTTGCACGACGTGATGGCCAGTGTTCAATTCAGATTCAATCTATAAGCTGTCGGGTGTACTTCAGGGTTTATAGATGCGTTACCAGAATCGGCGCCCAGTTACCATTATTCCGTCGGTGTCCAGTTACAGCAGAGGCCGAGACTTCGTCTGCGCTCCACGAGCATACGAAAATTACAGTGAACTGCGATTCCCAGGTCCTTGCTGAAAGAATCCTAAACCCCAAAAGCACCCTAAACCCTAACAAAGAACGCAACCCACAACTGAACCAGGGCGGCGAGCCAAAGACAAGCTGAAACATGTACTGTCGCAGACTCAGCCTAAGCTCTGTTCGCTGTGATTAGACGAAGAAACGAAAACAAGACTCTGCCTTAGGGTTTTTTGGGGTATCTGCCATGCGTTGGTTTAGGGTTTAGGGGTTTGGGGTATAGATTTTTCGTAGGGTTTAGGGGTCGGACACAAATCGCCAGCGTCAATCAGCTACAGTGAATTCCGAGTGCGATTTTGCAAATCTACTGTCCTGGACCTCCAAACTTCATGATGTCAGCTGTACCGAATCGTGGCGCAGAAGCGCTGCTTAAACCCTAAACCCCGAAACCCTAAACCACCCCCCCTCCCTCGGGGCACATAAGTGGCGTTCCCGAAGTCGATCAGCTTGATGGAATTGCTGGCCGGACGAGCATAGGGAAGATTCCGATACCTGCCCGAAAGGCTTCAAGTTCGGGGATGAAGATGGGTAGTTCTCTAAACTAGGGTCCCTTCCTAGGTCCCCAAGAAAAAAGTACGGCACCCTTATGAAGAGGACCCTAAACGCCGGGCTGCGTGAGCCAGAATAAGGCCCGGGGTTATAGCACGCTAGACTTGGAGTATAGCAAAACAGAATATGCAGAGAATCTTTACTGTCTATTAAGTAATGAGTATTCAGACGTCTACAGAACGGGGTTTCGACAAAAAACAGCTCGACATTGCCAAGTGTTGGAGGGCTTAGGATCTACAACCGGAGAGGGGTAAGCATCCCATCTATTTCCAAACTCGGCACCTTGATCCAGAAAGCCTCCCCCTAGACCCTAAACTCCACCAACCCCTCAACCCTTCAATCCCCCTACACCTATAATCTGGATTTCTTTCTTACCACTCCACCCCACTGTAATCCTTAAACCCTTCCAGGTCCTAAGCCGCTCCACCCCACTGTAATCCTTAAACCCCGAATCCTTCAGCCCCAAACGGCCCTCTACCCATAGGCCCCTAAGTAGTTCCTTTTTGGGGTACCTTAGAGGATTCTTAACATGAACCATAATAAAAAGGAACTACTTAGGGGCCAGTTCCATTTAATGGGAGTACCTTATAGGATTCTTAACATGAACCATAATAAGAAGGAACTACTTATAAGGGGCCTATGGGTAACTCCCTGTAGGATGCCTCGCTTCGGGAGGTTGGAACTCGGAGCGTGGGAAGAACGACACGCGTGCAACCTGGCTTAGGGCTGATAGGGATGGTTTTTGTTTTTTTTAAGGGCTCTTTTCGTAAGGGGTTTGGGGTTTAGGGTTTAGGGATGAGGGTGTAGGGAGTAGGGCTTAAGTGTTTTTATAGGTATTCGGGTGATCGGCGTTCAGGGCTTCAGCACTCACTCTCGGACAAGCCTGGGCGAGGTTACTGCGTCTAGGGCTTATAGGGGTTTTGGGGCGTAGGGAATAGGGTTCAGGGGTCCAAGCTTCGAGGATGAGGCTTGGCATCACGGGTGTGCGCCTGAAAAGGATTGAGGTTTAAGAGACCCTAAACCTTAAACCCTAAACCCTAAATCCTAAACCTGACGTCTGGGCTCAGAATTTGGGGGGTTGGAGGGTTCTGGGTGGGGGTGCAGGTCTTTCTATGTCATGGGCACCCTAGAACCTAAACCCTAAGGCTCAATGTAGCTTCCACGAATCCTGAGTAGAAAACGCTGTGACTCTGAGAATCGGATGCTATTAGCTTTCAGATGCTAGTAATTTTTTTGGGGGGGTCACAGGCTTCAGCTTCTGCATAAAGCTGAGCCGCGCCCTGCGGCGGTCAGCGGTTTAGGCCTTCTCAAGACCTAAGGGCTCTATGCTCTATGCTCTATACTTGATTTACAGGGCTCGCAGGAATTTCGAAGGGGCTTGCAGGGCTGTACCTCAAGCTACCCTAACAGGTTGTGTGGAGGTGTTTTGGGTTTTATGCCTCAAGCGACCCTGATTTGCCAGGCCTATGGCAGAGGGCCGTACAGAAATCATAAACGAAGCTTCTGGTGGCGCGACTATCCCAGAATCCCCAAATCCCCGCGGAAACAGCGGCCTCCCGACTTTGCAGAAGGATGTTCTCAGGCTTCAAATCCTTGGGCGCTGCATCTGAGCCGTGCAGACAGGCTCAGCGTCTCTACGAATCAGGTTCAATCCACGGAGATTTGTTATTTGTGGGAGGGTGTCTCAAGTATTGAAACATGTGAAGGCTTTGGCGTGCAATCAGCTTTTTCGACTCCTCTACGTTCGGTCTTGGTAAGGCCTCGTAGCCAAGCATGGTCTAGGCGTTCCCAGTTGGGGTATGTCTGGCTGCAGGAGGTTTAACGTGTTCATTGTTCTCACAGATGCTGGCTGTCAGCTGTTTGCTGGTGTTCAGGCTATGGAGTGCCTCTATTGGATGAAACGTAACTACTGTAGAAGCCTTAATAACTAGAATGGGATTTTGGGGTCTACTATACTATAATTATAATAAGGAACCCCCCAACATAGAAAAGGTAATTGTGAAGGCCCCTATACTACCTTGACGACTCGAAGCGCAGGCGGTGGGTTGCCAACATGCGGGCCATGGATATCGCGCGTCAAGTGTAGAACTTCGGCCAACGTGCTCAAAACGACGCCACAAACTCGCCATCCCGAGGCACCAACCAATATCGCTAGAGATCAGACGGCATGCGCCAAAGTCGCGAAAAGTGTCATACAAAATGTTGCCAGGGATCCGTGTGCGTCAGACTGAGATCATGCAAGAACTTCAGGGCCTGAGAGGGGAAGGCAAAGCGGTTGTGACAGGGATTAAATACCGCACCGTTACAGGGGAGGTTCATCCAACCCTAAACCCCCAAAGCTCTACACCCTGTCCTTAAACGTTAAACCCCTCACCCTAAACCATTCGACTGTCAGAAATGCCGCCGCTCTGCTCGCGCAGTCTCCTATTTTGAGCATACGGCTCGCTCCCGAAGAGCCCAGCTATCTACAGAGTAGGCTACCGGGTTTTTCTATAGAATAGGTCCCCGGGTTTTGGGCACTAATTATAAGGTTCATATATACTCTGTAAGGAGGAGTAGCAACCCCAGTTTATATAGGATAGGCTACTGGGGTTTGAGGTACCATAAGGTTCATATAGGGTGTGAGGAGCAGCAACCCACTCTGCAGCTAGCTGGCCTCGGGGGCTCATCACGAAGATGACGGACATCGGCAAATTCGTCGGTCCCGAAGGACCGCTGTCCCAGCAGGTGGTGTACATTTACAGAAGCCGCTTTGGGCCAAAATCTTAAAGTCCACGTCTTCTCTGTAGGGAAGTGGAATGAAGATGAGGTGACAGAGCACCTCACAAACTTCTACGAGCTTTCCATTTGGCAATGCTTACAATACGCCTCAATCGGCGTAGGGGTCGCCCCAACGCCCGACAGCTGGCCATACTAACTCGCGGCCAAAGCTTAGGGAAAGATGCCGGCCTAAATCTGTAGGGACGGTCGGCGCCGTTTTCTGGGACAACGTCGGAGATCGTGTCGCCCAGGCGTGCCTCTGCCATGTCGCCAACCTCACAGGGCTCTCCAAGGTCCTCCTCCATTCTGCTCCTGGGCTCGTCTTCGGGAAGTGAACTTACCCTAACAGGGATTCTATAGTAAATCATAGGGGTTTTTATTATCAGGGTCACTTAAGTTAAGCCCCTTAGTAACGAGAACCCAGGCTCACTGACATCGGCTCGCCAACGTCCTCTTCGGCCGGAGCTGTCTCCGGGACTGCTGCAGGTTCCGGTGCCATCTTGGGGACCCCGGGCTCGGGCGCGAGAGCGGCAGCAGCCCCCGAGACGGCCTCGCAGATCTCGGCTGAAAGGCTGTAGACTCGGCCTTAGTCGCACTTTCAGTCTTTGAGTTCGAGATAAGGGATATATAATCTTTTGCACAAAAGTGTAAAGCTTTTTAAGTCATTCAGCTACTAAGCGGCCAAGCAAGGCAGTTGCGCAAAGAGCGAGTGGCACGAAGAAGCCCAACCTTACAAGCGGGTGGAAGGCTGCGCCGGCGACCTTCGTCAAAGCTTGCAGGGATTCCGCGCGGCCCTGAACCGTCTCCAGCGACAGCAGCAGCTTTTCGGCCGCTTCTTGGTTTCCCATGGTCGACAATGGCTTCGTAGAGGACACGGCGAGCGAGGTGCTGTGCTCGACGACAGACTGTGCTAAAGTCCGCAGCTCCAGTGAGTTCACACTTTGAAGCAAAAGATCTAAGGCCTTGAAAGTTGCGCTGAGGAAGTTGTGATGTCTGTGCCTCCTATGCTGATTCCTTGACTTGTAGATCATTCGGCCCAGGACGGTCTGCTCATCAGCCAGCGCCTCGCAAGCAGCCGGCAAACGCGTCTCGCACGTCACGACCAGCCGACGTAGTGGCACAGATGCCATGTCCGATGCCATGGCTCCCGAGGATACAGCAGGCTCTTGGCTTACGGATTAAAAATCTTGCCACTCTAGGCTTGACGGTGCTACTCGGCCATGTCTGAAAAATCCTGGAAAGTTCCAACTCACACACCCTAAACCCTAAACCCTAAACCCCATGGCTCTAAGCTCTGCCCTCGCAACCTATGCCTTGAGCTTCGCATGCCGGGCGCCCTTGCAGTGAGGGACACAAAACTTGGGGTCGCCCCCTAGGGTCCTGAATAAGGTTTTGCCATTTGAGCTCCTTGGGTTTAGGGTTTAGGGTAGAGCGACACGAGTACGATTACTAATCTGTTTAGGCTCCTACATATTTCTACAAGGCTGTTGCTGTCAGAGAGCGGGAATACGGAACATTTCCGACACTTCAGCTTTTATCTTCAACCTTCTTGGCGGGATAAACAAGCTGCTGCTCGCAGCCTGCCTTCATCCTAGGAAATCACAAAAGGCAGATGGAACCTCCTGCAGAAAAGAAATCAATTTAGGCTTTCGGACTGTGTGCACTACTACCCAACCGTAAGTACTCTTCTAGGCCCCTGGTGAACCGAAGGGAAGGTGGGGCTCTCTGGGGTGAGGACTCCAAGGGGTAAAGCAGCTGGCCTTCAGGCTTTCTCTCGCAAAGTTCTGGATGTCGTGAAGCCAGAACCCACGGAAGCCATTCCACTTCCTGGGGATGATTATGGGATCCTTCAGGGAGGGGGTTCTAAGAGGGGTATATAACCCAATAATCCCCAATTGAACCACGCTCCCTTAAGGATCCGATAAGATGATGTGCCATGGTTTGGGGACCTCGCACTCGTCCACCGGTCTGCTTGGTGAGGAATCAAAGACCGGACTACAGACTACACGAGTCTAGGGTCAAACCATGTCAGTCAGCTTCCAGGTCTATCAAATCCGGTCGGTTTTGCAGTGGATCAAGGGACAAGGATGGGCTTTGGGGCAGATAGGGTTCAGGGGCTTCGGGATCAGGCCTGGCGGGGTTCAGGTTCTAGGGGCCTTACCTAATCCAACCTACGGGTCGGAAATTTGTGAATAGTTCCACTTACGGTTCCGAACGTGATTGTGGTAGATCATATGCCCAAAACCCTCTATCCTGGGCATGAAGGAGCCCCTTTCTTCGGTTTTTCCACGGGCTTAAAGCTCAAGTCTTCGCTCGCTGGAAGGTCCTGGGGTCTTAGGGGCAGCTAGGAATCACTGCAAAGTTGATGTAATATAGGGGCCTCGAGAATTAGAATAGGGTGTTGGGGCCCATTATACTATAACTAGAATAAGGAACCCCCGAAATTGTATAGGCAATTATGAAGGCCCCTATAGAATCTTCATCGAACTGTTGAGTCCGAGGCTCAAGAAATCGTACAACGAATCGCCCAGCAGCTCACACACCATGACGAAGTAAGCATTTTGATGTAGGAAGGTGTCAGACATCATCACACCTCGGCTGCAAGCAAGCATGGAGAGAGAAGTCGTGCTCCAGGCATCCAGAATGGTGTGCTACGGTTGATGATATAAACCCTGAATTTCCCCATAAGGAATATACCATAATCCCCATAGTTTAGGGTCCTTAAGGTAATGCAGGATTTATATCATCAACAGTATGTCCAACGGACTCTGAAGCTACCGAACCAAAGTACACACCTCAATCAACAATGACATCATGTTCCCGGTCATGAGGGTGCAGACGAAAGCAGCTACAACGCCTTGTCCACAAAGCCACTCGAAGCGCGTATGCATGTTCAGGCTTGGGATGCAAAGCATGCTAGAAAGCAAAAGCCTCAGTGCGGCTGCTTGCACAATATGACGTCCGATTCGGATCCGCTTCACGTATGTCCTCAGCAGGGCATCCCAAATGCAGCATCTTGTTAGTGGGGCTGTGACTATTCTCCTCCTCTGCAGCAGAATGTAAGGGCCCATGTATCATCCGTAAGCACGTAATGTGTCTGAACACCATATTGAAAGCCCTATGTGGCCGAAGCTTATGCTGCTTATGCCTGGGTACCTAACTCCACGACTCACAAAGCTCAAACTGTCTTCTTTAGGTCTTGGGGCTATACACAATTCCACAGGCCATCTCAACAAGCTCTAGAACATAATTCTGGGGCATCGTAAAGTTTCGTAGTGGAAAATCTCAATAAGTCTTAAAACGTTCCAGTTTGAGCGATGGAAGCATATTCTGCACAAGCTCTGGTATCCAATTTTTCAACTACCAACAAACGACACAACCAGCTAGAACGGCTGCAGACCATCGCACACACACACACACTCTGCACATATAGAAAGTCTGTACTTCACTCTTTGTTGAGTTGTGACGCACAACCGTCTTGCAGATGTTGCTTGAAGGAAGACCCAAACCTCAAGCTCAGTGCCCAAATCCACTCAACCCCTCCAAGGCCCCCGTCTAAGCTCTTCCCGAAGCCCCGACATTAAACACCGCAAAAGCCCTAAGCCCCTTATGCAAGGTTTCCAAAGGCACTAGTCATTATATCCTGAAGTAAAGAGGGCTCCCATATCAATGAAGGTTTTGGGGCTGCCTTGATTTATCCCCAGCCCTAAAACCCTGACCCCGAAGCCCGGAACCTTTTGCGCCTTCAACCCTGACCCTGAAAATTAAAAACCTATAGGGTTTGGGGTTTAGGGTTTAGGGGATTTTTGCCCAAGGGTTTATAGGGTTTAGGTTTTAGGGTTTAAGGTTTGGGGATGAGGGTTAAGGGTTTCGGGGTTCAGGAAAGCTTGAGAAAAAACGGGGTTTTGCCTCCAGGATCTTTGCCTCGATCATGGCATTCTCTCGATACCTCTCCACATCCTGGCTTGGGTATGAGTTTAGGTTTAGGGTTTTGGTTTTCTTTTTAAGCCGGACCTATAGGTTTAAGGTTTAGGGCTCTATAAGGTGTTAGGGCTTAGAGGGTTTGTGGAGCTATGATTTTAGGGTTTCGGGTTCCCAACCCTTAACTCAGCGAGGCATCCCCTTTTGCCTTAAGGAGAGCCCGGAAGCCTTTTTTTTTCATCAGGACTTATGCAATCGCCTGAGGGTCTGCGCATAGGGCGGTTCAGGTCTCATGACTGCACTTCCATACCTTGCTCCAGAAGACTCGCGGGGGTACAGCGGCGGTTTCAGAGTTTTCAGATATCGTCTCAAAGGGTAAACAAGTAGTTTCCGAGGGTTGACGTGGTGGGTTTCGGGATCTACTGGAGGGGCCTAAATAACTACAAATGGATTTCTTGTTTTTTCTTCTTCTTATTATTATATTTATTTTTTGGGGGGGGGGTAAAGCATAAACCGCTTGTGTGACACGGGCTTCCAGCGAGACTAATTACACCGAAACCCGAGACTCTAAATGTTTTGGGTGTAGGGTTGTAGGGATGGGTTGTGGCACTGAGGTGCACAGAACATGCTGAGAAAGGGTTGGAATCAAATCCTCCTGAGACGAGCATGGGGGCGACTCTCTCAATTAGGATCCATTGTACGGTCCAAAAAGGGTTCCGGGTTTGGAGGACGACACATATCCCTACACATACGTTATCTACTTCAAGCAGAACGCCAACTCTCAGCGTAAGCTAACAGACCTGGAACAAGTACTCTCAAAGCTGATGCAAAACAAGCCGCACGAATGACTTTGAGAGAGACATCGGAGTCATCCTGCCGCGGAGGTGGTTTCTTGGAATTTTCAGTTGCTTCCTGCAGCACCAAGTCCACAGTGTAGGGATAACGGCAGGCAAGCCGAGAGCACTGCAGTCCGGCCAACAATCCCTGCTAGTTTCGGTCCCGAAGCCGTGAAGAATCAATCCACTTGGGTGGTCTGATGTTCTTGTCTGCGTACTTGAGAATTTCCCGTAAACCCTTGACCCCCAGTCTAGATTCTTTTTGTTGACACCTTGTTCCGACTCCACGACTATCCGTAGTGCCGGAGAGCCCGATTGGGCAGGCAGGTTTTGGGGTTTAGGGCTTAGGGCTTGGAGTTTAGGGTGAATTATAGAGGAGTCCGACAAGCTTCTGCAACGGGTAGATGCGCAATGCGGGGGGGTAGCTTTGACCACCCTGAACTTCGCAAAACCACCAGCACCACATCCTAGTGTAGCACAGAAGCTATTACGCTCTCACAACTCGGACAAGACGTACAAAATCTATTTAGGGGTTGAGGGTTTAGATAAACCCTTAAGCCTCTAGTCGACGTCAGCTTTCGTCAGCTCTTGGAGCTTCGGGGATTTGCAAAAAAAACTCTCCAGCAGCTCTTTGATGAAGGCCCACTGCGTTGTTCCCTAAACCTGAACCCTAAACCTTTAAACACTAAACCTTAGCCCCTATAAACCCTATAAACCCTAACCCCTAAACATGGCAAGGTAGATCAGGCCTTCCCTAAACCTAAACCCTTGTTCTTGCTACAGGACTCAAGTCTGGCCGCTAGCCACTTCCTGCAATCATCTTGGCTGAGGCCCTAAACCCTTTTTTTGCAGATGGGCTCTGAGTGTCAGTATAGGGTCTATTTCTCAACCCTAAGCCCATAAACCCTGAACCCTGAAAAGCATCAGAAGCCCCTTCTTGGTGGCTCTGGACGAGGGATCCGGGCAAGCACTCAACTAACTTCGAAACCGATCCGCTAGAATGCAGGAGCCTCAGTACTCAGATTGTCTCATTCCATTCCATGTATATTATGATCGCAGCAGCATCCCATGCCCCAAAAAGCCCAAACTCACCCAAGCTGAGAACCTAAGTCCCTTAACCCTACTTCCCCGTACCCTAACTACACTACCAGAGACTCCAAGGATGCCCTTCAACCCAGGAGCCGGATCCGAATGTGCCGCAGGAAATGAGCCGTAATCAACAAAGGAGATTTGGGAGCCTCTGATGGCAGCCGGCCTCCCGAAATCAGCACATACCGTCAAGACCCCAGGCTGTTTATGACTGAGGCTCTTGCAGCCCTTGCAAGAAGGCATCGTTTAGCATTGGTCTAGGATTTTTACGCGTCTAAACCTCAAGCCTCAAGCGCTAAATCCCCAAACCTGAAAGACCTTCTATCGGAACCAGTCAAGCGGTCATGCCTGCCTTCATGTCGGTCGCCCGCAGCACACGGCCAAAAGCTCCATCACCAAGGAGGTCTTCCTGCTGAGGCGTCGGGTTGGTATGCCAGGGCTTCTACAGTAGAGAGTGACAGGGCAGCAATGGCCCCAACAATTTCAAACACCCCAAGGATTAGAGCTTGAGTCTCTGCACTGTGTGGCGAGGGACTGGGGCAGTATAGGCTCACATGCATCAGAGGGTTTAAGGTTTGCGGCCTAACTCTTGCTGGACACGGATGTCTCCAGGCAGAACAAACAGGTATACATCCTAACATGAACCCCTTTCCTTTATCGACACGTTTGTGTGTGTGTGTGCGCGTGCGTGCGTGCGTGCGTGTGTGCGTGTGCGCGTGTGC